GGGAGCGAGCGCGGGCCGGCGGCGCGCGCCAGGCGCAAACAGCCCGGAACGCGCACCGAGCGCTCGCTAGGGGGCCGACGGCCACTTGGGGGAGAAGAGCGCGGGGCACCCTCGCCACGCAGCGCGCCTCCATTCCACCACCTGCCGCTGGGTCAGAGAAGAGTGGACCCGTGGCCAAGTGAGACGGTCCGGCCGCGAAGCGTCAGAGAGCCGCCTCGGTCAAGTAGTAGGCTCGCGGGCACCGGGAGAGGGAAAGTCCCAAATCAGGCTCCGGTGATAGACTGACAAAACTAACACACAAGCGAAGGAATTGGCAGCAAGATGCTAGGAAGACACTAGGGGGAAATCGGAAAGTTCGACGGATGAAAATTCTCACACCACAAGGCAAAGACAGCCTGCGGGTCCCCTCCGGAGCCCCTGCCTGGACAATGAGGCGCCAAAGATCTCACCCTCTCTGCTGCTGCTGTCCCATCATAGGGTTCTGGAGGACTTAGCACCTTGCATTCTCTTTCTTTCTTTTTTGGTAGAATTCTCTGATCCCTGCCTCCGGTCTAAATTGGGCCTTTTATTGCTCTCCTCGGCCCAGCTCAATGTGCTACATCTTCATATAATAATACGTTGTATACATCTTTTTAATGTATTTGTTTAATGTCTGCCCAACTGACTAAACTCCATGAGAGTGAAGCTTATTGCCAATTTTTTCACTTTCGTTCATCCTCAATACTCAAGAAAGGCAACTTCATCACTAACTCCTGCAAAAACAACAGGGAGTTGTAAACTACGGTCTGATGCTCAGCCAAGAAAGCTCAGATTATTTCAGACTTTCTGGCAAACCAGTCTCTACAACTTTAAAATGTTCCAGTAACTACATTAGGAAAGACCCTTGAGCTGCAGTCTCTCTTCGTGAACAAGCTCTGTAGTACAAAGTGAGAATATGAAAGGAATAAATGATTGGAGACAGACTGGACCCAACTAATTTGAATTTGCTATAATCTCAGAATTAAAGACCACAGCCTAAAGAATTGAGTGTGAATCACACTTGCTACTTGTGTGATGCTAATCATGACTCAGTTAAATCGTTTGTAAAGGTGAACTAGTAATTATGCCTATATATATAACTACAGTAAGAATTAGGAATAATTCAAATTCGGTGCTGATTCAATGTATTCAAGATATTTTTTAAAAAACTAGACATATTTAAAGAAGCAAAATGGACAGATAAAAAATAATACATGGCAATTTAAGACGTCAAGAGAATATGGAGTTACAAGAGAAAAACTCCAAAATCTCATCCACAAAGACATGGAGGATTGTATTTTCCTATCAAAGTTCAAAACTGGTATAATAAAGAAATTCAAAGAGATATAAGAAACTTAGAAAGGCAAGTCAAAGTGATGATGTTGTTTTTTGGAGTCCAGGGTCCTTGGGTTCACTCTGGGAAAGGTTTCACTAGACACCCCCACCCCCTTTTAGCAGCATGATGCGAGTTCCCCTGCCAAGTTTCTCCATGAGACAGAGGGTTACATTTAAAGAGCAGGTTTATTAGAGAAAAGGACAGACAGAAGGTTTCTTGCATAGACACAAGTGGGCAGGAAGAGCTGCTCCCAAAGGGATAGGTTTGCTGAGAAAGGCCTGTATGGTTGCAGACAGGTAGGCTTAGGAGAGTGGCCTCCGCTGAGGGGGGTCAGTGCAGAGAAGTCCGGGCATGGTCAACAACAGGCAGGAGGCTGCTGCCCTGCAGAGGGCAAGAGTGGTGGAAAGAAGCACCTGCATAGTCACAGGTGGGCAGAAGACTACTGCCCCGTATTGATGCAGAGACTGTCCTGATAGAGTCCTTTTCTCTTGGGGAGGGGCTCACTCTTTTGTAAGCCTGTTTGATGCTGATTTTGGATAACTATGTGGAATCTCACAATGGGCCCAGAAAGAAGTAAAATGTCTTTTAAAAGATACAGATGTCAAAAAAAAAAAAAAAAAAGATACAGATGTCTCTGTATCTTTACCCTCAGGTCTGTGCTTCAGATATTTCCTAAGGCAGTCTGATATAGGAGTTTCTATGACTTAAGGGTCCTTCTGCCTCCACCTACTGGTATGAGTCAGGTTTTAACCCTGTGATGTCTGCTTTTCTATTCTTTTCCTCCATCAGTGGTACAAGAGAATTCACAAAAGGTAATCATGCAATATGACAAAATTTAGAGAAATAAAGGACAGCATAGTAAAATGAGTGAACAAAAGCTATAAACTGAAGCTTTAAATAAGAAAATAAGAGATTCAGAGTGTAAAAACTCAGTAAATGAGCTCAAAAGCTCTAGAGAGAGATAAGAAAATAGAATAGACTAAGTGGAGGGATGAATCTGTGGGCTCAAGTGTAGCAATAAGCAAATAATTCAGGTGAAAGAAAAAAGAAGTAAGATGTCATTTAAAAGTGAAGAAATACTACGAGAATTACCTGACTTCATTAGGAAAGACAACATAAGGATAATTGGTATCTCATATAAAGAACAAAGATTTTATTCCAATAAATAATCATCTGGCAAGATGGCAGCAGAGTAAAGATACTGGACTCATACAGATACACACACTAGAACTGATGCAGTTTTGTTGTTTCTACCTTGAAGAAAAAGCCATGTAAGTGTACACAATAGAAGTATCAACCCAAATAGAAAAGAAAAACTCTACGTGATTTTTGTTTAAAGTAATGTGGTACAACTCACAGAGGGAGGAGGGGCTGTGGTACGAGCTCCCTATGGCTACTGACTTGGGCACAAACCAACAATGTGGCTGCTAAGATCCAGAACTGCACTGGATCAGGGGCTACACAAGCAGGCACCCAGGACAGTGGTGCACCCAGGACAGTGGTCCCACAGTGGTGGGAAAGCTACAAAGGTGAGGACACAGACTATTGGCTTGGGTCCCATACTCATCATACAAAACAGTGATCGCCTGAATAAGGTCAGCGCACCTGGACTTCCTTACACAAGAGACTACAATTACAGTCGAGGCTAAGATATCTGAAGCACCTGCCACCTCTCCCATTCCTCCCGCAACACACTGTCTGAGACATTCAAAATACTAGTGATCCCCTATTCCAGACTGAGGTGTATATAACACTCAGGACCCTCCATAAAGAAATGCTTTACAATAGGAATTTCAAATTCCTGAGTCTACTAGAGGTAATCCTTCGATGCCTGTTGCTACCATCCTGATCCTCTTTTACACCTACTACTTCTTGCTGGTACCCGTTTCCCAAGTATTCCAAACAAGTACAAAAACAATTGAAGGTATATCCTTACTAAAACCCATACAAAGTAAAAAAATGAGGAAACAAAAGAACACAATACAAATGCCAGAACAAAAATCCTGAAAGAAACCATGACTTAGTAGAGCTGCAGAGCAAGACAGAAGAGTAATTCAAAGCAGTTCTGGCTAGGTTGATAGAACTCAAAAAACAATGGAGGGTATAAAGCAATAACAGAATAAATAAAGTGAAAATATGAGGTAACTATCATACACTCAGAAATAATGGAGTTAAGAAATACTATAACTAACTTTTAAAATGCAGCCATTTCCCACGGGTGATTTGGTGATGGGAAGCCCACGGGGATTAGAACTGAGATGGGAAAATGCACAAAATGATGTAAAAATAAGGTATTATAATATTTTACAAGAAAGAAAAAATGCACCCATTTCCAATAAAATAAAGTGAATTTTTAAAAATGATATGCAGCAAAGAAAATGATAAAAAAGTAAATATTAGGCATTCATATAAAGACAATTCAACAATGTAAACACCTCCCAAAACTACTGTACATCAACAAACATCCTGAGGGCCTGAGGTTAAGAGGCAGGGGGACAAGGAATGGTGGGAGGGAGAGAGAGAAGGAAAAACCCTTAACAAAATACCAGCAAACTGAATTCAACAACAAGTTAAAAGAATTATACATCATGGGTCTTCCCTGGTGGCACAAAGGGTTACGTCTCAGCACTATGAAGCTATGGGCAGACACTGCAGCATAAATTCAATCCCTGGCCAGGGAGCTAACTCACAGAGGGCAGCAGATCTCTCCTGTCTTGCCTGCTGCTCCCCTCAGCAGTGAATTCAGTCAATCTGTTCTGTTCCCCACTCTGTCTTTGGTGAATCTTGCACCTCTGGCCTACACCCCATCTCTTGTATGCATAAATAAATCTTTAAAAAGAAGAATTATACACCTTGATCAAATGAGGAAGAGAAAATTTATCTTTAATAAAGAGCTTCTGCTCTATTGTTCTGAAAAATTTACAATAAGCATTTATTAATACCAATATTGTACATTAGAATAACAGGGTAATATTTTTGATAGACTATAAAAGCTAGCTATATTTTATGTTTTTGCTATATTGGCCACTTAAAAACAAATATAAATAAACTACTAGTTGTAATGCATAGAAAGTTAATTACAGTGAAAGATACTAAATTGTTTAAGATAGTCTGGGCATTACGGCTAGAAAAAAATTATGTGTGGGTCTGATCTGGACTGGGAATTGATAAAGAGGAAGTTGCAAAAGGAGGAGGCAAGGATATCTAATAAAAATTATATTTAAATCTGAACAGCTTTTAACAATTTCAGCTGGGAAATAAAGTACAGTGAAGAAAATTCACT